AGTGGGAGATATTGGCATGAGTGGTCATAAGGTTCAAACATAGCTCGTAGGAGTCAGGGGGTGACTTCCAAAGAGAATTACAGCGATGAGAGTTTATGGACAAAAAATGAGTATTCCGGCAACTTTGGCCACTTATAATCAATGTTCACGAGGGCGAGATGGTTTCATGTCTTATGTTGTTCAAGCAGCAAGAAACCCCCAGTAGCTCTACTAACCGCTACATGCAACATTTGCTAAAAAACTGATTTCACCGAGGGTTGTACTACTGTTTTTTTTTAAAAGGAGGGAAAAATAGACTCTACTTTTTATCTGTCTAATGCAGAGGGACCGCTCTGCAAAGATTCCCCAATACCATTGTCATCAAAATCCTCCGTGTTAAGAAATATAGGGTTATTTTGTTTATTAAGGATAGAATAGTCTTTTACTTTTCCTGCCTTGTTTAGCTTATATATAGTCTCTTTGTATTTAGGTTAATTTACTTCCTTGTATTCAATTGAATTATGCAGTATCAATAAAACTCTAGCCTCCTCTTTTCTTATCTTTTGTATTTCTTTAAATTGTTCAATATGGTATCAAAGCAAAGTTTCATGGGACAAGGCTTAATCTCAAACACAGTTTACGTGGATCCAACTTTTGAGAAGGTATTTGTTCCGTTTAAGCAATCTGGTATTTATTCCGTTTTTGCAATCTGGTATTTGTTTTGTTTTTACAATTTGGTATTTGTTCCTTTTTTTTGCAATCTGGTTTTCTTTGTTTGTTAATTATGGCTACTGCAAGAAACGATTCGCTTCAGTCTATGAGTGTGAGGTTGGATGGAAAGAATTATTCGTATTGGAGTTATGTGATTAGAAATTTTCTTAAGGGTAAAAAGCTATGGGAATATGTAAGTGGAACTTCTGTGAAACCTAAGAATACTGATATGAGTTATGTTGATTTGATAGATGTCTGAGAAGCAGACAATGCAAAAATTATTACTTGGATCAATAATTCTGTTGAGCATTCTATAGGTACGCAGTTGGCAAAGTATGAGACAGCAAATGAGGTTTGGGATCATTTGCAAAGGTTATTCATTCAATCAAATTTTGTAAAGCAGTATCAATTGGAGCATGACATACGAACTCTTTAACAGAAGAATATGAGTATTCAGGAGTTTTATTCTGCTATAACAGATCTTTGGGATCAATTGACTCTTACAGAATCTGCTAAATTAAAGGCATGTGGTGCCTATATTGCTCGTAGAGAGCACTAATGGTTGGTACAGTTTTTAATGGCACTTCGTAGTGATTTTGAAGGACTTAGAGGTTCATGCATCGTTCTCCACTTCCCTCTGTTGACTTAATTGTCAGTGAGTTATTGGCTGAAGAGATTCGTCTTAAGTTTTATTCTGACAAGGGAATTTTTTCTACTTCTGATCCTTCTGTGCTAACAGTACCTTCTAAATCATTCTCTCATAATCAGAATAAGCCTTACACAAGGCCTACCTTCGACGAGTGCAGTTTCTATAAGCAGAAAGGTCATTGGAAGACTCAATGTCCTAAGTTAAGACAGCAGAATCAATCACAGCAGCAATCTCAAGCTTGGAAATCTGGCAACCAGTCACAATCTAATGCTCCTAGACCACCTCAGGGTTACAAACCACCACAGTCTAATACTGCAGCAGTAGTTTCACCAGGTCCTTTCACCGATTCTAGTACCTTGGCTGAGCAATTTCAGAAGTTTCTCTCCTTACAGCCACAAGCTATGTCTGCTTCTTCTTCAAGAGGTTAGTTGCCTCATAGTTCTCCAAATATGTCACATTCTGTATGGGTCTTGGATTCTGGTGCTTCACATCATATGTCTCCAGATTCTTCATCTTTTGGTTCTGTATCTCCTTCATCTTTTATTCCTATTATGACTGTTGATGGCACTCCTATGCCTTTAGCAGGTGTTGGTTCTATTGTCACACCTCTCTTGTCTCTCCCTAATGTTTATCATATTCCAAAACTCACATTAAATCTTACTTCTGTTGGTCAGTTATATGATTCTGGAAATTTAGTCACATTTTTCTCTTCTTCTTGTTATGTGCAGGATGTGCAGTCTCAGAAGCTGATTAGGACAGGCCGTAGGAAGGGGGGACTATATATTTTTGATGAGTTAAAAGTGTCAGTTGCTGCTGCTACTAGTGTTGATTTATCTTCTTTTCGTTTGAGTCCTTCTTCTTCCAATTTTTATTTATGGCATTCTCGTTTAGGTCATGTTTCGTCTTCTCATTTGAGATTTTTGGCATCCACAGGGGCTTTAGAAAATTTGCAAACTTGTGATATTTTTGATTGTAGTGAATGTAAACTGACAAAATTTTCAGCTTTACCTTTTAATCGAAGTATTTTTGTTTCTTCTTCTTCATTTGATTTGATTCATTCTGATGTATGGGGATCTTCTCCTGTTGCCACAAAAGGAGGGTCTCGATATTATGTTTCTTTTATTGATGATCATACTCGTTATTGTTGAATTTATTTAATGAAACATTATTTTAAATTCTTTGAGATATATACAGTTTTTCGAGCTCTTGTCAAAACTCAACATTATGCTATTATCAAATGTTTTAGGTGTGATTTGGGTGGGAAATATACTTCTAATAAATTTGACGAGTTGTTTGCCTTGGATGGAACTATTCACCAAATTTCGTGTACAGATACTCCTGAGCAAAATGGTGTTGCTGAAAGAAAACATAGGCACATTGTTGAAACTGCTCGTTCTCTTTTGTTGTCTTCTTCTATTCCTAGTGAGTTTTGGGGTGAAACTGTTCTTACTGCTGTATGTTTGATTAATACAATTTCATCTTCTCATATTTCAGGTGTTTCTCCTTTCGAAAAATTGTATGGGTATGCCCTTGATTATTCTCCATTTAGAGTTTTTGGTTGTACTTGTTTCGTTCTTCGTCCTCATATTGAACGCAACAAGTTGTCCTCTCGATCTGCTATTTGTGTCTTTCTTGGTTATGGTGAAAGTAAAAAGGGGTATCGTTGTTTTGATACAATAACTTAAAAAATTTATGTGTCTCGTCATGTTGTTTTTCTTGAGCATATACCTTTCTTTTCTATTCCATCCACTACTTATAGTTTGACTAGATCTGATCTTATTCGTATAGATCTTTTTTCTGAGGACTCTGATAGTTTGTCATCTCAAGTTTCTAGTACTTCAAATAACAGCACTGATCATTCTACAGGTACTGACACTTTACTCTCTAGCACACTTGAAGCTACCTCCTCTCCTATGGTTCCTTAAGCTCCGTATGAGATTGTGGATCCACCTCTACGTCAATCCACACACATTCGTAAGTCCGCAAAGTTACCAGATTTTACTTATTCTTGTTATTCTTCATTTTTTACTTCCTTTTTAGCTTCTATTCATTGTCTCTCTGAGCCATCTTCCTATAAAGAGGCAATTCTTGACCCTCTTTGGCAGCAAGCTATGGATGAGGAACTTTCTGTTTTGCATAATACGGGTACTTGGGATTTGGTTCCTCTACTTCTTGGTGTTTCACATGATTCTGGGTATGTTTGCAAGCTCAAGAAAACGTTATATGGTCTCAAACAAACACCTCGTGCTTGGTTTGAGAAATTTTCTGTTGTGATCTCTTCCCTTGGGTTTACTTCTAGTAGTCATGATTCTGCTCTTTTTGTTAAGTGCACTGATGCAGGTCGTATCATTCTATCTTTATATGTTGATGACATAATTATTACTGGTGATGATATTAATGGTATTTCAGTTTTGAAGACAGAGTTAGCTAGATAGTTTGAAATGAAGGATTTGGGTTCTCTACGATATTTCTTGGGTATTGAGGTAGCCTGCTCACCCAGATATTATCTTCTTTCTCAGTCGAAATATGTTGCAGATATTCTTAAGCGAGCTAGACTTACTGATAATAAAACTGTAGATACTCCTATTGAGGTTAACGCAAAGTATTCTTCTTCTGATGGTTTACCTTTGTCAGATCCTACTTTATACCGTACTATTGTTGGGAGCTTGGTATATCTCACTATTACTCATCCAGATATTGCATATGATGTTCATGTTGTTAGTCAGTTTGTTGCTTCTCCTACTATAGTTTATTGGACAGCGGTTCTTTGTATTTTGAGGTATCTTCGGGGTACAGTCTTTCAGAGTCTTTTACTTTCATCCACCTCTTCCTTGGAGTTGTGTGCATACTCTGATGCTGATCATGGCAGTGATCTCACAGATTGCAAATCTGTTACTGGTTTCTGTATGTTTTTGGGTGATTCTCTTATTTCTTGGAAGAACAAGAAATAATCTATTGCTCAATCTTCAACCGAAGCAGAATATCGTGTTATGGCATCTACCACCAAAGAGATTGTTTGGTTACGTTGGTTACTTGCAGATATGAGAATTTCTCTTTCTTATCCCACTCCTATGTATTGTGACAACCGGAGTTCTATTCAGATTGCTCACAACTCGATTTTTCATGAACGAACTAAGTACATTGAGATCGATTGTCACCTTACTCGTCATCATCTCAAGCATGGCACCATTACTTTGCCCTTTGTTTCTTCTTCTTTGCAAATTGCAGATTTCTTTACCAAGTCTCATTCTATTTCCCGTTTTCGTTTTCTAATTGGCAAACTCTCGATGCTTGTCGTTGCTGTATCGTGAGTTTGAGGAGAGATGTTAAGAAATATAGGGTTATTTTGTTTATTAAGGGTAGAATAGTCCTTTCCTTTCTCTGTCTTGTTTAGCTTATATATAGTCTCTTTGTATTTAGGTTAATTTACTTCCTTGTATTCAATTGAATTATGCAATATCAATAAAACTCTAACCTCCTCTTTTCTTATCTCTTCTATTTTTTTAGATTGTTCAACACTCCGTACGACAGCCCTGCCCTGAGACTCACATGGAAAGTATGAATTTAAGTCTAGCAGATATATTAAAACTGTTATGATAGTTAAATTTTAATAGCGGTATTAAAGAGCTAGAAGGAGTAAGGTTTTGAACTCTAGCAACAACGCAACTTGGCATAAGGATAATCTTGATATTCAAACTGATATTCACTCGAGCCAAACAACCTTCACACTTTATCAGTAAATGTGATCTGTTCATTAAATGCAACATAAAACTACTACTGTCTGCAAAATAAAAGTACAGAAGGTTCAAAGAGCTCATAGCTTTGATTTTTTTCCTTTCCTTTCATCATCCATTCACTTGTGGGAGAATCTATGAGCAGTCTTATTGAAGTACATAAGGAATTCCATTTTCCAAGGCGCAAGAGGCCAAATCCTTTTGAGCAAAAGGAAGTTCCAATGGCTCATTGCTTTCATTTGCCTCTCCGTGGCAACAAACTTTCCAGTATGGGATAGCTGAAAAACAGAATGAGAGAAGAGAGGAAACATTGTCCAAACATGCCTTCAAAGTCTCCCTCAATCAATACCCTTTTCATTCCACCTACAAAGCATACCAAATTCAATATGACTAATAATCTCAAAGGTATCATGAACATTTCAGCCCCTTGGAAGTGGAATTTTCCTTTGTTGTACTTTTCGAGCTTGTCTTGTTCAACTGCTTTATTCGTTAACCTGAAGCTTTCTTTTGTTATACCTAGCAACTTCAACAAAAAATCTAAGCATCCAAACAAGCATGCTGTAACCAGCCTGATCATCCACATTCTGTATTCATTCCGCCATGTTGTAAATGATCCACCCGAAGAGAGGACTTCATAGAGATGCTGACAAATGGAGGATGTATACACAATTGCAAACACGGCAAACCAGGGGTCTGATACCTGAAAAGAAGATTAATATGAAATAACTGAAAATTCAGTGTTGTGGTCTTGTGAACAAGCCAAATTTTGGGGTTTAGGTAAGGCAAAAAGTTATTAAGACATTGAAACCGAACAGCTAATGATTAAATACCAGTTCCACAACTGATCATTCTTTGGTAACCAATGTCAGATCACAGGATAGAATTGGGATGGATACATAGCACATAGGTGAATAGGAGCATTTACCTTGGGGAACATGGAAACGCCACTGAAAAGGCCCAACTGAGGAACAATGGCATATAACAGAAGAGCAATGCAACCCAAGGATGAGAAAAAGAAGTATCCATAGCACATGCTGTGAAGTATAGACATCCTTGACAAACCGTATGTGAGAGGACAGATCTTTGACAGACCAACTTGAATTAATCCAGAGCTCCATTTCATCTGTTGAACCAAGGAATCCTTCAAATCGATTGTTGTACAACCCAAGAAACAAGGCCTTTTAGGATAAAGGTAGGCAGAGGTCCACCCTCTGCAGTGCAGAAGATACCCCGTCATGGTACTCTCTAACAAGCAACCATAAGAGTAACCTATCTGCAATCCCAGCAACAATCCTTTAATGGTCATCCATTGAACCTATAATGGAATAAATATTTGAAGCACAATATCAAACATTAGGTTTGATAAGTACTTGCCTCTTTACCCCACTCTGTGTTTTTTTCAAAGGTGCAGGAAGCCAAAGTTCTAGCCTCTTCTAAAATTGCATCTGATACAACTCCCTTTCCTTCAATATCTTGTTTATTGCTGCCTCCTGCTAATGAAGCAATGAACTTGCTTGACAAACCAAAGTTCTTTGCCGGCTCAAGAAGAAATTCATCTATGGATTCAACAAGAAAAAGGCCATAAAAACAGACCAGGGAAGCAATGTGCACCACATTATGTCTTCATAAAGAAAATATAAAAGTCACGTAATGGTTCTTGAAGATATAGATATACCCTTCTGATCAGGACTCCCATATAATGCCTTTTTCTTCATGTAATAGCCTGTACCGGTGTAAGCTGGACCTTGTAGCCCATCCATACCTTGCCATTTTGTCTGAAAATCGACAATTTAGTTATTCAGAAGTACCAACATTTCACAAAGTTTAGCATTGGCTTCTTTTGCAGTAAGCAGAAAAAACGAACACGAATGTATAGGTTTATAAACCTTGAAAGCTGATCTTGCTTGGCCATCGTAGATATCATTTCGAGCAAGATTGTAGAACATCTGAGGATATTGCACGAAAGCCAGAGAGCGAGACATCTGGGGGTCGAGATGGAAGCACATTGCTTGTCTGGCTGACGTAGGGTCATTGCAATACATGTCGCAATCTAGTACTAGTAAGTAAGGGGCGTTACTCATTATCCCAGAAATTCGAAGCTGCAACAAAAATTCTCAGATTTAACAGTCATTCTTTACTTCATTTTGTGAGTCTCTGTGTGGGTGTGCTTGTATAGAGAGCGTGGTACTTACGAGAGCATTCAGAGCTCCAGCCTTAAAATTATGAGGCTGTGATGGCCTTTTCTCACGGGATACATAAAAGAGGAGAGGCATCTTGATTTGGTCATCCTTCCTATTATCATGTATTACCTACAAAATGTAAATCGATCAATTTGTTCCTATTCGAACTCACTTCACATATATATGTAGGTTGACATTACTAATACTTTGTCTTGCAATAAGATGCATACTAAGTCAGTTTGCCCAATATGCATAATATCGATTTTACGAGGTACTTGCAAATGATAATGCAGCATCTTAATAATTTCCAGTACCAAAGGACTTGTGGGAAGATCTATTTAAGCCGAAATTCCCTCCAAAAATCAGGGTGCTGGTGTGTAGGATAGTGTCCCATGGTCTCTGCTACTAAATGGTATCTCTGGAAGAGAAAATTGACAGAGACTCTTATGTGGCCAATAAAGGAGGAAGAGACAGTGGAACATCTGTTTTTTTCCAATACATTAGAGATTGAGAGATCAAAAACATCAAGAATCCAAGCTCAGCTATTGATCATATTGCAATCTGTATAGTAGAGAATAGATGAGAATGTAGAGGGAAAATTCTTGATTGCATTCTTACTCTGCTAAATTTGGAAGGGGAGTGGATCTACCACCAAAATCATCCAATGTCAATAGGGGAAATTCATCAAACACTTGAAACTCGATCTGAACTTGTACTAAGCAATTATCAAAGACAAGTAATGAGCAGAGGAAAATGAACTATACATGAACTTCGGAGACCTTAACCAAAAGGGTGGGTTCCAAACTCAACTATGAGAACTAAACAAGAAGGTTGCGGTTGCGCCCGTTGCGAGACTTAAACCAAGACCTTACGGTACAAACTGCCGACAGCCATACACCAACTTTGCTAATTTGATTTTATTAATTTTTGGGTTTTTCTTTTAATTTTTTGATTTTCTATCTAATTACAATACATCATTATTGTTACATGGTATAATAATAACTCGATAATAAATAAAAAAAGTGAACCCCAATCATTCAAGTAACTATCATTATCATCTATGTAAAATAGTTATCACCCATGTAAAAAAAAAATTGAATTACCTTACCCACTTATTTTATATCAAACAATTATATTATGCGATAATGTCAACGTTAACGTGAGAATTGACAAACAGCCCTTTAAGGAATATTATTTAATATATTAATAGAGCCTCATTGTTAATTTTCCCCTTATGCCCCTGTTGGTCTTGGGCCGCCCAAGTGTAGTGTAATCTTTTCACCCAATAACTAAGTGGCCAGTCAGATTTTCCACATACCTGGACACAAGGAGGTCGATCATGCACCATGGAATCAGCTATTCCAGATTTCTCCACTTCTTTCTTGAAGATTTCATATGCTAACTGCACAAAAAAGTACCGGCAACTTTAGCACCTATTGGCAATATTGTTATGATGGGTAAAATAAGGTAAAATACATATATTGGTCCTATAAGGACCAAGAAATTTCATGAATTTCTCAAACTTTCCAACACCAACAAAATTCCATTTTCATCGGACAGAAATATACAAAATAATTAAAACAAAAAAATTAATATAATCTATATAATAAAGTAACTAACAATTCAAATTTTAAAAGATAAAAAAAATGACTTTTGCTTTTCGCGGTTGAGATTGTTTTAAATTTTACTTTAAAGTTAATCTAACGGCTAATATTAACACTCTAAATTTAATAGGAAATAAGGTCCTAAGGGTGTATTTGGAATGATTTTTTAAAAGTACTTTTAAAAATTATTTCTCATAAGTACTTTAAAAAAAAAATTGTGTTTGAAACCACCCCACCACTACTTCTATCATTGCCACCACCATCGTTGTTGTCGCCACTGCCGCTGCCACTACGGTCATTGTCACTCACCACAACAATCACCGTCTCCTATCATCATCACTGCCTCTTACCACCTCTCACCTCCACTACAAACCGATGTTTAAATTCCTTATATATTCTCTATATTAGTGATTTAATTTTAAATATGAATATAAATATGTTTATTATTTATCATTTTGATTACTCTGTGCTTTCAAGCACGGGCAATAACTAGTAAATCTATATAATAAAACATGGCCCATGTTGAATCTCCCAACTTAGCTTAGCATAAGAGTGATTGAGATTCACTCATCAAAAAAATTCGGCCCCAAATCAGCTCATATGTTTTCACACTAATCAAGCTTAGATTCTCCCCGACGTTTAAAATCTCACCCAAATCCATATATTTTCACGTTAATCAGAGCCAAATAAAGATTTATCTCTCTCATTTTTTTTAAGCGGTGGGAAAAGATTATTTCATATATTTATACTACATTATTATATTCAATTTATTGTATTACCTAATATTTTTAGACACGAATTATTACTTTTGTATTTGTATTGCGTGATTAGTGGCCAAGTCGTTTACATTTGCTTTTCTCAGTGCATCGGCAAGTTCGGACAAAGGTGTGAAAGGAGCTATATCCCATAAATTAAGCCGACCATATACTAGTTTATATATTTGAGGACCGACTTTTTTAGGTTGTTAGAGGTCTTTTTTTCACCCAATTGAATTCCCGAAATTTTTTTAGACCAAAGTTGATTTATTTATATAGGAGTGGTAATTTGCACTTGAAGTCACCTTACAGTGCAAAAGATTTTGAGAAAAATATTAGTGACTGTTAGATGAATTTATTAAAATCTACTCGATTTTATTATAAATATATACATTGATTCAATGGTTATGAGTATTCGGGTTAATTTATGCATACTTCGACTAATCTTCTCTTCGATCTGGTCAAAAGCAGGTCATCTATACCGAGAATATAGTATTCACGTGATATAAATCTTTTATGACATGACTAAAAAATTGTCAAAATATAAATTCAAAATGTCTGAACTTACAATTCATTTCTATTATCATTTGAGCAATCCCTTAGAGTTATTTATATACTTAAATGGTCACTACATCAATTGTCAATTAATTTTTGAGTTTATTGGTTAAACCCTTCTTTTACATCTCTAGGGCCCCTTTCCGTGCTATGTTCTAGTTACGTCATGGGTTCTAGTAAATATCTCATTTTTGCTAGTTTCAAGTTTCAAACATTAGTCTTTATCTAAAGCTTACTTTTCTTTTTTCGCTTACGCTCTCATATAGGAACGGGATCTTAGGGTAGGCAAAAGTAATAGGAACTAATTTGAGGTACAGGTTCTCTCCTTGTTGGAACTAATAAAGGTACTAATTTAAGTAATAGGTTTGGTTACATAAATTAGGTTAATGATAGGAAAGTAGGAAATACTCTAGTAGTGGAGTTTCAAGCTCTTGTTTGTTTCGTTGTCTATCCTTATCTAATAGGTAAATGTAACATCCATCATCACATCACAAAACAATAGCTAAAAAGGGTACACTTTTTTAGTGCTTGCGCATGAGTGCCAAATAGAATTCTCCTGCTAAGCACTAAATCAGCAACTAAGCAAGTGTGCAACTATCAAACTCTCCGTTTTTCAATTCGGTGTAATCTTGGTCATCTACATCTATCCCAATGAGCTGTTTATTGAATCGTTTCAATTGGTACTCGATCCTGAAGAAAAAGCCTAGGGATTAGAAGACACTTTCTCGTCTACTTGTGCAATTATGTTGATTTTTAATTAATGAGAAACTATATCTTACCATTTGATTGAAATAGAAAGTATATCAACTTTGCAGTTTCTTAATTTGTTTTTAAAAATAACACGATACGAAACAATTCACGCTCAAAACTAGCTACTACATACCTTAATTTCCTCTTCATCTGCCTTGAATTCATCACTCCAGAGGCTCAGACGTTCATCATCTCCAAAAGATGAAAAATATGCTTCAGGACACCTAGTCTTGATTCCATATTTTCTACAGAAAGGAAGCCAAGACCTAGCAAAAGAACATGCTTCTTTCACAGCATGCAACGTCAAGGCGGTGCCCCCGTCGTCGGAAAGATAAACGGCGAGCTTATCCACCGGATAATCGAGCGCCATGGCCGACAAAACTGTGTTCATCACCTCAAGTATTGGCTCCTTCTTGGGGTCACATGTGCATATGAACACATCAACCCCAGGCAACGCCTCATCTCCTGGGAGATTTTCCGGGTAAACGGACCGAGTAACCGGCCGCCACCGGAAGGGTTGTGTTAGGAGCCATATGAAGCTTAGAATTAGCTCAGCTATGAACATAAGTGACCATGACAAAAAGGGTACGTCGCCATGGAAGAGGTGAGAGATTCTGTAGTAGAGGAGAGCTATTAGGGCTGTGAAGTGGAAGAAAATATGCAGTCTGTTAATGGTGGCACGAGATCGATGAACTGTGCAGGAGTGAAGAGAAGAAGTGGCCATCTCTTCTTACCTCTCTACCACCTGTTCCTGAACTCAATCAAAGGCTTCCCTCTTCTTTTATACTCTTTTTTCCCCCAGGGGTATGCTTATTTTGAGGATGCATGTGGTTGAAAAATGTCACCATACCCTTAAATATAATAGAAGAAAATTTTAAAATCATAAATTTTTTTTAAAAAACTTAATAAAATTAAAAAACAAAAAATTCGTTGATGACCAAATCTCATACTAATATTAAAGGGCGAGGGTAATATAGTCATTAATCATTTTAATACCGTTAGTAGCAAAAACTCAAAAAATAATATTATCTTCTAGGTGGTATTATACATACCCATCCACATGAGTTTATGACTATTGTAACGGGGGGTGGGTTTGTATTATAATGTAAAAAATAGTATTGCAATAAAAAAGGTAAACAAACAAACAAAATAATATTAAACCTCACATGTTACTTTCCCTAATCTCACCTTCTTATATTATCATTATTCTTAAGCAAAATCAATCCACACTTCAACAAAAACTTGACTGGTCGATAGGTGTTGAATGACCGGTGGAAATGGAGATGTATTTGTCGCTATCTTAATCACGAAGCTTCTAGATTTTTAGGTAGTGGTACTGAAATTAAAAAATCGGTATTGTACCTTTAAAATTTATTATTTTAATAGATATTTTTATAATTTTTATGAGTCATTTTATAATCAAAAAATTTATCATTTTTATGGCTAATTTATTATTTTGTAAGTGTTTTTATTACTATTATGCTAACTATTTTTACCACTTTTCTTCGATATAAAAAAAATATCACTTTTCTAGGTGATTTATTATATTTGTTGGTATTTTTATTACTGTTGTATTAATTATTTTTACTATTATTTTTTAATACAACAATTGATAAAAATACTCATAAATATAATAAATACTAAAATTTATTTTTACTGGGTACCATAGAATCTTTAGACAACTCCAAGATTATTACTTGGTCAATTCTAGAAGATGGGCGCCGTTGTCCCCCAAGTAAACGTTATATACTTTACATTGAGTCATTGTTATTTGGAGTAAATGTTGAATGCAAGCGTGATATTATATTATTATTGATGATATGATATTAATAATTAATAATAAAATTTTAATTGAGAAAGGTGAACCTTACGTAGACTTACATGATAAAAGAGTGAGGAATTATTTGTTTATATAGCAGATTAGTTATTGATTTTTATAGAGTTCATCTGCTTATTTGTTTTAGTATTATTGGTTAGTGATACCACATCACCTTGTCATTTGATATCACCGTTGTAATAAATATTTTCTCAGTTAATTGAGTCATTTTCTCTCTCTAGTCTACTAGAAGGCATGTCCTAACAAACATTGTATTTACCTAACATTCCTTATTGGCTTAAAAAACGGAAAGTTATTTGTTTACATAACAGGATAGTTATTGATTTTTATGGACTCTCTCTCTATTTATTAATTTTTATGGGCTTTATCTGCTTATTTGTTTTAGTATTATTGATTGATAACTTCACATCATCTTACCACGTGATTTCACTGTTATAATGAATATTTTCTTTGTTAGTTGAGTTATTCTCTCTGTAGTCTTCTAGAAGACATGTCCTAACACCCTTGACCTCAAGAAAATAAAATTTTTACAAGGTAAAAAATATCATTAAATCAAAAACTCATTGATCACCTTGTATTTACTTGACATTCCTTATTGAGCAAAAAATTGTCTAAAAATACATTGAATATTAGGTCCTAAAAATACATTGAATAAAGATGTATATAACTTCGAGATTGAGATGATCCATTTCTTATTAAAAAAAACAAAAAAGAATTAAACTTGAATTAGATCATCTTGAGAATGCAATTTAATAATAACTTTTGTGCTATGATCACATTTAGTTTTCGAAAAACCTAAACCAAACGCTAAGTCAACCNATCATCTTGAGAATGCAATTTAATAATAACTTTTGTGCTATGATCACATTTAGTTTTCGAAAAACCTAAACCAAACGCTAAATCAAACTATAATTTTGACGTTTAAGTATAACGCTCTGGGATCACGTCTTGTCGATGTGGGACATGGACATTTTGACTTTTATATGCCTAAATTTGTTCTCTTCAAAGACTTTGATTGCGGGATTTGAATATCATACCTTATCACATTTGTGATATCTTTTATTACATTTATGAATATTTTTATGATTAGTGTGGTATTTAAAAAAATGGTAAAAAAATAATTATTACAACAGTAATAAAATTTTTTACAAATATAGTAAATAACCTACAAAAGTAATAAATTTTTCATATTTTAAAAAAGTAGTAAAAATAACTATTACAAATATAATAAAAACACTCATAACAATAGTAAAAATATCCACAAAAATGATAAATCAACCACAAATGTAATAAATTTTAGTTGTAAAATGACCCGTATAATTTGTAACATATAATATAATAGCCTTATGATTAGTTTAGAAATCTATAATATAAAAAATAATTTTTGTTTTTCGTAGTTGCGATTATTTTAAAATTAATCTGACAGTTAATATTAACTTTTCAAATTTAATAGGGAACATAGGTCCCTAAATGTATGTTTGAGTTGACTTTTTAAAAATGTTTCTAAAATTTATAACTCCTCATAGACACTTTAAAAAATAAATAGTATTTAGAGCAACTTATTTTAATTACTTCCAAATGAGTCAAAAGTAATTTTTTCACTTAAATAAATAAATAAGTAAAAGTAAAAAAAAAATAACTTTTCTACAAAACACTTCACCACCATCACCTTTGTCTCCACCGTCCCACCACCATCACTGTTGTCACCCACCATCGATTGCTCTCACTACTACCACTCACCGCCATCTTTATTTTATTCTTATATTTATTATCACTACCATCAACATCCCATCTCCACCGCCACCACCAACCATTATCATAATCCACCACCACCCCTTCTCGCCTACCGTCGCCACCACCCACTTTCACCCAACCCCCACCACACCTACCACCACTATCTGTTATCGCCCCACCACTATCGTCACTCACTGTCACTCACCCCCACCACTTCTACCANCATAGACACTCACCCCCACCACTTCTACCACCATTATAACCATTTGCCGCCACCACCCACCACCATTCACACCCACCACCACCATCCACTACAGCCACCACCATCAATCATCATCACCATTGTCTACCATCACCGTTGTCACCCATGACTGTAACTAGCATCATCACCATTGTTACCCAAAATTCACCATTGTTACCCAAAATTCATCGTCATCATCACCGTTGTCACTCACAGCTGCTACTATCACCATAGTCGTTGTTGCCCCTCACAACTATCATCGTCTCCCACTACCACGAATGTCGCCTACCACTATTACCACGGCTCACCCCCTACAATCGGTGTTTAAATTCTTTTCTCTCTCCTTTATATTTGTGATTTGATTTTGCATGTGAATACAAATGTGACAATTTTATTTATTACTCTGTGTCTTTAGACACAAGTAATAACTAGTCATTCAATAAGATCCAAACATTATGTGTTGTCACCACACTTACACTCATTTTTTTTAAAGAGTAATATTAATTTAATTTAATTTGTTGACTTAATTTACAAACTTAATTCACTACAATCATATCCAGCAACTATAGTTGATTAGAAAAATAAATTATATTAGTAAATTAAGGATTACTCTTTTTAAAAAGTATCACACTTACTCTCACCATCTAACTTGAATATTAATCCAACTATCAAAGGTTCAAAGCTAATGTAAATTGTTCTTAGATTTTTTAAGGAAAAGTAACAAAACGATAGTTAGGGAGAAAGATAGATTGATAAAATGAAAGTGAGAATCTATTGATTTTTCAAACTCTTTTACCGTACACACATAGAGAGATAGAGAGGGGTTGGGATATAATATTGAAAAATTCACTTTTTCTATTACTTTTTCTTTTTGTTTTTTTAAATTTTTTTATGATATTTTGGGTGTCATGGGTTGGAGAAATAGGTCCAAATTATTCAATTTAAATCTAATTTTAATTTTATTGTTGGACTTAATTTTTATAAATTAATTNATATTGAAAAATTCACTTTTTCTATTACTTTTTCTTTTTGTTTTTTTAAATTTTTTATGATATTTTGGGTGTCATGGGTTGGAGAAGTAGGTCCAAATTATTCAATTTAAATCTAATTTTAATTTTATTGTTGGACTTAATTTTTATAAATTAATTTTTTTATTTAGACTAGTGGTTGTAAATACAAAAAATGAGGCTTAACTAAAAAAATAGGCCCTAAGGGTCCGTTTGGTTAGAAATAAAAAAATGATAGAAATTAAAAATAATAGAAAATGAAGTGAAAGAAAAGAAAATAATATAAAATATATTTTTATTTTATGCATATATTTAGTTATAATGAAAAATTTATGAAAAAATATNGCTTAACTAAAAAAATAGGCCCTAAGGGTCCGTTTGGTTAGAAATAAAAAAATGATGAAAATTAAAAATAATAGAAAATGAAGTGAAAGAAAAGAAAATAATATAAAATATATTTTTATTTTATGCATATATTTAGTTAGAATGAAAAATTTATGGAAAAATTTNTAGAAAATGAAGTGAAAGAAAAGAAAATAATATAAAATATATTTTTATTTTATGCATATATTTAGTTATAATGAAAAATTTATGAAAAAATATTAAAAATATTTCATTCTATTGTTTGAAAGAAAACAAAGTTATAAGAAATTTTGTATAGTTGTCTAAATTATCCTTAATTATATAAAATCAGTTTAAAAATGGAAAAAATATGTAATTATAATTGAAAGTTAAAAATTTTTAAAATAGTGGTTCGAAACTTAATTTTATGACAATCACCAACACAAAGATATTTGGGCCAAATTATATGATTAATTAATTTCATACGGATTTTTTTTAAAATTAATACCTAATAAAATATTTTAAGAAAAAATAAAAAGTTAGTTATAAATCACAATTTTTTTTGCATTTCCTTGTATTTTTTTATAAGAAAAAAAAGTTGGTTATTTGTGAGAAAATTTAAGTATGAAAATAAATTATT